CCGGGACCAGGCTGGTGGCTCCCGGGAGCTTGCCCAGGACCGCAAGAGGTGGGCACCCGCCTGGTCCAATGCAGACATCATGGACCTTATCCACGACCTCCGCAGTAGGCACAGGAAAGCTGCCATCTAGGGCAGGAGAGCTGCCAGCCTGGCCACCCAGGAGCAGGTGTACATGAAAATCAAGGGGGTCCACTGAGGCCCCCGACCCTGATCCCTGAGCTTAGAATGTCCGTACTGGGTCAGACCAAATGTCCATCTAGCCCAGTAGCCTGTCTGCCGACATCGGCCAACCCTAGGGACTATGGAGGGGATGGACCAAAGACACTGACAAAGCCATTTGTCTCGTGCCATCCCTCTCTAGCCTTCCACAAACTATGGGCAGGGACACCACTCCTACCCCCTGGCTAATACCACTCCATGGACCCAACCTCCATGAATTGATCTCACTTCTCTTTAAACTCTGTTCTAGTTCCAACCTTCACAGCCTCCTCCATGTAACTGGGGTTGCATAGGTTAGGTCAACTTACCACAGTAGTGCAGATGTCCCAAAGATGCTGTACCTATTCTCATGTCCCAGCAATTCAAGGATGGTAAAACAATCATTATTTTGTTTGTTGCAACTTTTTTTTGTTTTTGTTTCATTTTCAAAAGTGAAAGAGGGAAAAAAACGAAGTGATCCACGCCACTGCCACATGCTAACAAAATAGCATACAGACAGCCCAAAATATTAAAACAAGTAATCTTATAATATAATTTGAGAGAAACAGTTCTTCATGCACAACACTTGGCCTCTCCTACTTGTCAACTGAGTGATGAGGGAACAATCTTAGGTCGAGATAGGTTGAGCTGATGTTGTAGAAATCCCAGTTGGATGCTTTAGTGTTTCCACTGAACTGTTTTACCAAAGGTTTCCACTCAACCCACTCAATTATTTAACAAAGGATGAAATGGGCCAATTCAGTTGAACATTTAAGTTCATTTACCCTAGCAAGTGATATTTCACTTTTACCTGAGTATTAATTTCTCCCTTAAAGGATTCCACACCAGAAATTTACATAATGAAACTGATTACCTGTTAACTAGGAAAGGGTATGTAATGATTTAAAAAAAAATCTCCACTTTTTCAGCATAGCTAAATTTCCTTGAAAACCTCTCAGTGGTATTTACAGGTGCCCCCCCCAAATCGAAAAGGATCCCCCCTGCCACAATGGCAGCAGTTACAGATGAAGCACACTGAGATACCATTCTCCACATAGTCACAGAAAGCAAAAGTTAATATTCAGAACTCTTCTTCCTAGACATCCCTTCCCCTTGCGCCCCGAGTTTCAAACCAGATGTGCTGTGCTTCTGCACAGCCCCATTCACAACATCTGCCATTGTGACGATGGGCCTGCCAGTACGGAAGGAAATGAGGAAGGAATTGCTCAGGTGCATGAAACTATGAGTACAGAACAACAGTACTAAATATTGATACCACACCCCAGAGGGTTTTAGAAGTTCTCACTCCTGATGGTGACAAAGGCACATAGAGTACGGCCCCTTTAAGTGATGATAACTGACAGGCGAGGAAGGCGGCAGGACCCAGGAGGAGAAGGGGCAGGGACGCCAGGGTGAGCGGCACGCTCCGTGTGTGCTGGCTCAAAAGGGGGAGGGGCCGGAAGGACGGGGGGCGGCCGGCACTCACTTTCTTTTGGGCCGGTCTCGAAGGCGGGCTCCGGATCAGACCCGGCAGCAGAGGATCGCGGGAGGCTGGACGGAGGGGAGGAAACCCGACGGTGGTTTCTCAGGGGCTAGGAGCGAGGGGCTACTTCTCCGGGGGCGGGGCTGAGGAGCTGGTGCCCATTGCAGGAGGCGGTCTGGTTGCTGTGGCACAGTGATAACGTGTCTGCTTTCAAACCAGCTTTTCCCATTAAAATGCATGCCCCTTGTTCCATGAGGCTATGTTACAAATTGTCACCTCATTCCCTGCATGATAGGAGAGCGATCACATCTCTTCAAGTGTGAGTGTCTTAGGCTGAACATATTGAACCACCCCCAATTTCAAACAGTGATTTCTAAAGCCAGAAATGTCTGCTATTTTGGCATCCAGGAAACAATTTCACCATTCACACTAATACAGGTGTTCATGTGTAGTGTATCAATGTGTTATTAAATAATAACTGAATAAAATAATATTAAATAAATAATTAAAAACAACATCCATGTTTTGATTGTTTTTTATTTGGACCTCAAGTGTGTAGTCGGCCTCCGAACTGCTGTTTGATAGTTAATGCGGCCCTCGGGCAGAAAAGTTTGGAGACCCCTGCTCTAGAAGATGGCAAACACCTATAAGGTCAGGGGCAACTGATGCCTTCAAGGGGGAGTGGATGCAGGGAGGGTCACCCAGAGGGAGGGGCTATGTGGGGGCATTCTGTTTAGCAATTAAAATTTTGGCAGGGCATAGGAAATGACTGCACCTCCTGATTACTGCCACTAGTCATCTGTGTGTAAGGCAGAATCTTGATGAACAACAACAAAAAAAATGTATGGAAAGCTGAAATTTTAAAAAACCATTGACGTATGTTGTTTTTGTCATCAATAATTACCAAAGTGCACAGGGACTAGTCATGGCATAGGCATATACAAACTGTACTAGACATTATACAAACATAGAGCAAGAAGATGGCTTTTTCTTGAACTTACCATTTAGGTACATGTTGGACCTCTCTGATCTAGGACCCTAAGAACCTGATTGATCCCAGATGAGGGAGTTTGCCAGACTGAGGAGATAATTTTTGGATCCCTGCCACCAGCTGCCCCTGGCCTTCCAGAAGGCTTCCCACCTCCTGCTGTCCCTGCTGCCCTGCTGACCCACTGGGCAACCATCACTGCCATGTCTTCACCAGGAAGCCTGGTGCTGGGGCTCCAAACAGCCGCATGTGCCGGGGTTTCCTGAGCAGCCATGTGCACTATTCTGGGGCTCCATGAGCAGCCCCATATGTCACCCACTACATCTCCTTGGACTGCCACATGTCTGCCATGCACCGGGGCTCCCAGCCCCACTGGGCAGCCTTGCTGCCACATGCTGGGTGGTCCCACCATCAGCTCCCTGCAGGCAGTCCACTGCTCTGCCGGCCTCACAAGACTCCTTATTGCTGGCTCTACACCGGGACTCTTTGGTCATGCAACATCCATTTTGCTGGACCCGAGAATGCTGGTTAAGAGAGTTTCAACCTGTACAAGAGAAGATGGATGCAAAATAAGAAGAATAATACAGTGAAACAGTACTGGTCAGCATGGAAGTCTGTGGCTTTTACGCACCCAGCAGCCTAACTATGGTCAAGATTTTACAGTCATCATGGCCTTTCTTCTTAAGAAACTCCAGTGACCATATGGGGCATTGCCAAAGATGAAAGGTCTGGAAACAGACCCTTGGTTTTCTAGCCTTTGTCCACTATAGCGGTGGTGTGAATTTGTAAATGAGTATCCCCTAGCATATGTCAGGTTTTTTTAATTGCATGTTTTCTTGGATATCAATATTTAAGACCTTCCCTAATGGAATGTATGCATTTCAGTGCCCTTAAATTTCAGTCTGAGCTACCAACTTTGCAGCACTGCCTAGCTTATCATTTGGGAAATACATCAAATATCTATTTTACATATATGTAATATACATTTTTGAATAGCAAACACTATTTTGGCAAGAAATATTAAGAAGACAGGACAGAAATGTATCATTCAAAGTCATTAAGAGAATTGCTCAGAAACTAATAGGATGAAATTCAATAAAGAGAAGTACAAAGGAACTGTACTGATGCAGAAAAAAATGTAATGCACAAATACAACGCAGGGAATACCATTCTGAGCCTGCAGAGTGACTGGGGCCAACTCCAGTGCTCCACTTCCTGCAGCTGTGGTAAGGTGGAGCTACGTGGGTGGAAGAGGGTGGCAGAGCGGAGCAAGATGATGGGTCACTATGTTTCCTGTGGCTTCCACCACTGCAGTGAGTGCAAGGATCTCAACCTCTGCTACCGCCTGGCACCACCACTCCTTTCTCTTGTGCCCAGGAAAACCTACCTAGAAGACCAAAACATCTCTTATCTTTACCAGCAAATGATAGATGGTGTTTAGTCCTGTCGTGAGGGTAGGGGACTGGACTTGATGACCTCCTGAGGTTCCTTCCAGTTCTCATATTCTATGTTTTCTGAGAAACATTATTTAATAATCAGGGGAATGGTATTTTCACTTTAAGAATATTGTCCTTACCTTGTAAGATATATCTTGGTCTTCTTTCACTGGAACCAAATCATATTTATCTGAATCACCTGAGCTGACTTGACAAGGATAATTTCCTGAAAGCAAAAATATACATATATAATTTTATATAAGAAAAAACCTAAAATGGGAGGGAACTGGTTAGCATGCTATCCAAGAGCCTACGACACCCATGTTCCAAGCTTTATCATAAACTTCCTGTGTAACCATGGACAAGTCACTTGACCCGTCTGTGCCTGTGTTTCACATGTGTATATCAGGGATAATAGAGCTCCCCTTCTCCGGGGGAATTGCGAGGATAAATGCATTGAACAGCGTTATGTTAGATACTATAGTAACAGGGGCCATATAAGTACTTTGGCCATACACAAATAAAGGACACAAAAACAATAATAGTGCAGGAAACTTTAAATCAACCCAGATTTATTTCTTCAGCGTGGAGAATGTTGGTTACTTTGTTGTGTAAATCATGGGCTCAATTCTGCTACATGCTGAGTGCCACTGAAAGTAGATCCATAGCACCAACATTAAACAGTAGTTGCTCAGCATCTCCACAGAAGGGCTTCAATGTAACATGGCGACAAAATGGCCAACAACGTGAAAAAAAATCTCTAACCACATTAAACTGAGTACTGGTCAGAAGGGAAGATTTTAAGGGTAATACTGGAAAGACATAACACAGCCACACAAATGGTATGCTTAGTTATTATTTTTATTTTTTTCACTTACTCCTAATGTCAATCAGTAGTGGTTCGTTAAATGTGCTTGTGTGATCTGTGTATACATATGTTGCACTTACATAGTAATTTATTAGCACAAGCATGCGTACCTGTTTTTGTGTGTTTATAGAGCTGTATATAAATATATACATGCACACAGAGCCCGTAATATAAATGATCAGATCGACAGCTGGTATAAATTATAGTTCCACTGAAGTCACCTATGATAATTTACCTGTGCAAAAGCATGTTTGTGAGTATGTACTTAAATACACACACATATATGCCATGTCACAATATAGATTTATATTATGAGTACTCTGCATATTTCACACACACATATAAGTATAAGCTAAAAGAGTATATCAGATGGTGGTAATATATATTTCCAGTATATACACTTGGGATGATAGGTTATTGTTTTTTCCTTTGTTGTGCTAATATTTTAATTTGCTATATTTAAATAGTTTACCAAATGAACCTTGCAGAAATAATTAACAATTTATCCATGTTTTTGGAAAATTATGAAGAAAAAAGGCAGTAATTACTTTTGCATGAAAATAGCAAAATAAAGAATATAACAAAATAAAGAAAATTTCAACTTAAGAGTTGGAATTAACTCAAAATTGTTGTTAAGTCATGTCTCATGCCTGTTGTATTTTATTTGTGAGCCTTTGAAATGCCATTCTTCTCTTTATTTTCTGTATCAGTAAGCTCATTATTTTAACCCAAGATAGATTTCTCTAAACAATTTTTGCTAAGTAAAAACACAATGTAATTCTTCAGTGGCTGAAACAGTGAGAAGCAGCTCAAATTAAAGATCAAGAAAATGCAAAGAAAAAAATCTGTATAAAAATAAATAAATAAAAGGAAAGACGCAAAATGCTTGCAATTAGACAGGATGAAAAATCTAAAAAGAAATTAAATTTAGTTGTAATACATTTCCCATTCTCTTCTTCATGAAAATTACAACTGAAGTGTTTTTTTCCCTGTAATTTAAATGTTAAGCTGCCAGATGTGTGTCTCATGCTTGAAGAGTTGAAGCTTTGCATTATTTAGCATATTAAGATTCACAGAATTTAAAAAAGGGCTCCTTTATTGCCTGGAGGTTCTAATTAAGTAAACCTTAGCCTGGTACATTTAAAACTTGCAATACAAGAGATTTTGCTTCCTTTTTTTTTTCTGCAGCCAAGTCATATCAACATAATAAATATGAAAAATACTTAAGATGATATAATTTTTTTTGGCTTGAGGAATTAAATCTATCTATTATTTTAAGAAGTTTTTAATAGAGGCCAGCAATCAGAAAGACATCTAAGGACTCTAGTCTACTTTTTAATAATAGGAGTTGTTCTTAGTTACTAGGGGAAATGTGTCTTATAAAAACTGAAGTATGTTAAAAAAATTTCTTCCATATACAAAACAAAGTAGCTCCAAGAAAGAAACAACAAGAACTACACAGCTCTTCTTTATTAAACCGCATTTTACTTTTTTATAACACTTTATAATTGACCACAAAAACACTAATAAAGCACTAATTAATCACCATATCAGCAATTTGATGGGTGAAATAGTTGTAATGGTTATATTGCAAACCATACCACAGAAATTCTTTTGACACACAGCCTCCATAAATCATACTGTTATTTTTGCTATTTTAGAAAATGTCAAAGGTGTCAGCTTTGTCCAGATATACCACTTAGCAGTGATTCTTTCAGTAAATTGACTCAAAATACATTCTGCTCCTAAGAGGGGCACACAATACAGTCCCCAATATAGATGAGCAGTTTGAAGAACAGAACATAGCACAAAAGAGAATTAGCAATGGCAAATATTACCATTATGTTAAAGTTCAACTGCAAACATGAAATTTCCATGTTAATGTGTTTCTTGTTGAAAATAGTCGTACCAAGATGGAGAAGTACAATTTTGCTAGGGTTTGATTAAGAGAGTAAAAGCATATTTCAGCCACACTACTATAAATGGATAACCAAGTGCTCTTGCTAAGAATTCTAGGGCTGCGTCTAGATGGCGGCACTATTTTGGGATACCAGAAGTATCCTGAAATAGCTATTCTGCATCTTTTGAGCGTGCCCATTATTTCGAAACAGGGCGCCCATTATTTCGAAATCTATTCTGGCATCCATATAACCCTCATTCCATTAGGCTAAGGGTCATTATGGAATAGTGCTTTATTTTGAAATGTATAAGCTATTTTGAAATTACCTTGAAATAAGCTATGCAATTTGCATAGTGCAAACTGCGTAGCTTATTTTGTGGTAAGGGTGCACTGTAGATGCGTCCTAGCAGATTCCAGAATAAGAATAATAGTGTATATTACAATAAATGAAAAAAATGAACTGATGGCAATTTTTCGCTGCAAGTATAGACTGGACATATTAACAGTATCATCTAGGCTCAGATAAATGGTCAGATGAAGTACCAGAGAGGCAGTTTAAATTCCACACGTCTCACACCTAATTTGGGACACAAAGTGTACCTCACCAATATCAAGTTCCTCAGAGCACCCACATTTTTACAACTGGAGTACAAAGGGAAAAGAGGGTCAAAGGTAAAATAATTTTGCTGCTTAGTCATGCTTAGATCAGCTGTATCCCATGCCTTCAGGAGGAAATGCCTATGGATAAGCCTTGATAATAAAGGAAGTATTTTGATTCCTTATTCCCTGTTGGAAGCAATATATCCTTCTCTCCCATCTGCACACAATGTGCTGTGCTTGCTAGATGTTACCCTCTGGGGCTACATCTACACAGCAGTGTTATTTTTAAAAAAACGGACATTCCGAAATAACAAAGAGCACATCTACACAAGTCTTTATTTCAAAATAATGTCGAGCTGGAAGATTTCTTACTCTGACTACTGTAACTCTCATTTTACGAGGAGTTAGGGAAGA